TAACTACGACTCAACGCATAACTATTGGACAGTCGTTATGGTATGTCATGTTTTATAACATGCACTCGTATTACACTTAAGATTTAATTAGCGTGCACTTGTAACATAATAATTATTATGTACCGTAAAGCATATTAATTATTATATTATGTAGTTCATATTATATAGTAAGCTTGTTTGTTTGTCAATTTAAGTACCTGTGTACCATTAAATACGTGGCATATAATTATAATTTATTTATCAATGATAAATTATCATAATAACTATTATAATGTGTAATAACTTGCAACATACATGAAAATTAAATTGTAAATAATATTGATTTTTGCATTTCATTAGGAAAACAGACATTCAGTTATACTACGGCTGGAGTCCATGCAATACTATCCCCGGAATATACACTCGTTATACAGAATATTCTTTGAGAAAATTCTCAGCGACTGGAACTCGGATACTGTAGTTTTGGACCTGGTACAATTTTATTAGCAAATAATATGCACAAACAAAATGAAATAACAGAATATTCTTAATGTTTGTTTACAGTTGACTGCAATCATACTGTTTAACCCCAATCGACCTAACCTTACGCATAGAGATTCCGTGAAGTAAGTAATAAATTATAAGTAGCGTGGTAACTTATATACAATTGTATATATATGGTAACAAAATATTTGTGACCAGGGTCCAACAGCAAACATACATGTATTTACTGCAACGCTATCTACTATTGCGATATCGCGATGAAACCGAGTCTCAGGCGAAATGTGAGCGACTTTTGCGGAGTTTGTATTATCTGGAAGTGTTGGCCGAGAAAAAGGTGCAAAACTGTCTCGAAATTGATCGCAAGATTGTGGCACAACATCCCCTACTGTTGGAAGTGTTTGACTTGCCCTCCATGAGCCAGGACATTAAGCCCAGCAATCTCATGGCTAATATTTTTGTGTATTAAATGTTAGGCGATTATTTATTAGTACATGTTTTACGAGCAAGTCTATTTTTATTTGTAAATGTAGGTACGGGGTATACATGTATATTATAGTTTTCTTATAGTTTAATAAGCACATATTGATTTGATATTAATGAATCTAAATATTACCAGGGAAATCTCAAGTTTTTTAATAATTATAAATTAAATACTTGAATACAATGTTAACACACTCACACTGTCTAACTATGAAAGTATGTTTTAACAAATAACCCTAATTATAACCCAAATTAATTTTACACAAATATTTTTTAAAATTTTGACATAATATGTGGAGTAATTAATCAAAGTGTATACTTTAAATCTGCTTGATGTTAGATTTTGAATGAATAAAGTAATGAAAACAGAGTTGAAGGATACTTTTGATTACTATGCTTGAACATATTTATTACTTATTACACTCACATGCGTATGAATATCTATAATTATTTAATTGCTTTACAAAATAATAGATTTTTAAAAAAATTTATTAAATAGATTGAAAAATAAAAACTTTTTTATGTTGAATAATTGATTTTATTCGCAAAATTTTAAATGATATATAGATACAGTATTATTTGTTTCATAATTTTTGTTACTACATTATTTATGTCTTTTTATATTGAGATGTACATTACGTTTGTGTCGATTTAAATTTGTTTTACAATTAAATGTTTGCCGACATTCAGGCCAATCGCACTCAAAAATCTCATTCAAATGGATACTCTTTTCGTGTCAAATAAGGTTTGGTTTTTGTGTAAATATTTTGAGGCAATCGTTGAAATGACAAACAAATGGCTTTTCGCCCGAATGGATGCGATTATGGCAAATAAATCCCGATTTGTTAGCAAAACTTTTGCCACAATTTTTTTCGTTACATTTAAATCTCTTTTCATTCAAATGAACACTACTTTTGTGTTGATTTAGATCTCCTTTCCGTGCAAACTGTTTGCGACATTCACTCCAATCGCATACATATCTCACGTTTAAATGAACACTATTTTTATGAATGTATAGATTTGATTTGGTTGTGAAAGTTTTATCGCAATTATTAAATTCACATTTAAATTGTTTTACAATTGAATGTTTTAGATTATGTTTATTAAAATATGTTTTATTTTGTGTCTTGTATTGACATTTAGGCCAAAAACAGTGGAAATAGTGATAAGAGTTGAGTGTATTAATGGTGTTGTGATTGGAAAGCATTTTATCACNATTTTATCACTTATTTTACATGAATTCAAATCAATTGAATTGCAATTCATTGACAAATTCACTGCATTTTCGCATTCAATCCCTTCACACAAAACACTTGCATTTTGTGACAAAAAGCACTGCATTTTGTCTAAACTTTGACACAAACTCCTAAATTCACACAATTTTCTTAATTCACACTTCATTTCAATCAGAAATTCAGATTTTATTATTCAGTATTATAATTAAACTGAAAAATTCAAAAACTTAAAATAAATATAAGTTCAATATTTATCGCATATTTTAAAAATACAAACAAAACCTGTTTTGAAACTAAAAGATAAACTTCAATATTTTATGTATTATAATAATACTATTATTCACAATAATTTATTATCATATCATATGAAAGGACATTCACCCATTTGAAATTAAAAATACTATAATAAACAAGGCTAATAATAATTACTATTATAAACAAGGTCCAAGAATAGAGTTGATTTACTATAGGAATTATGACCCGGAATTGGGTCCAGAATTATCTGGAAATGGATCCCAATATTGTGGCAAAACAAATAAATTGTTGATATTAGGGATTACCGGGTAAATATTTAAAGTAAATGATTAGAAAATCATATGAAAAACTGGTGTTACTGTTTAATGTATTATTAAAATCCAAGCATTTATCCAAAATTTGATGATTTAATGGTTAGGTTTTACATTTTCAAATGTCTTGTACTTTATAGTTAAGAATTTTATATTATTCTATATTAGTTTAGTTTAAACATTAGTAAAATGTTTTGTGAATTGTATACATTGTGTGAATTTCGGAGTTTGTGTCAAAGTTTAGACAAAATACAGTGTTTTTTGTCGCAAAATGCAAGTGTTTTGTGTGAAGGGATTGAATGCGAAAATTATTACTTCAAAACCGCAAATTATATCTTGGTTCTGACTTCAGGAACTTATTCTCAGATAAATTATGCGTAATTAGATATATGAATGAATATTTATATCTTACCCTGTTATTTAGATATTTAGATATCAACAGGAAATCATCACTAATGGGTTCCGAATACCTGTCATCCAAGTCCTCAGCAAATTTCGGAGTTTGTGTCAAAGGTTAGACAAAATGCAGTGTTTTTTGTCACAAAATGCAAGTGTTTTGTGTGAAGGGATTGAATGCGAAAATGCAGTGAATTTGTCAATGAATTGCAATTCAATTGATTTGAATTCATGTCAAATAAGTGATAAAATGCTTTCCAATCACAACACCATTAATACACTCAACACTTATCACTATTTCCACTGTTTTTGGCCTAAATGTCACTTCAAGACAAGATATAAATATTGTTTACCTGAACACCAATTAACACATTCAAGATTAAAGCAATTTAAATGTGTTTCTGATAATTACTATAAAATTTTCTCAAATAAATCAGCACTACATTATCACAAAAATAGTGTTCATTTAAACGTGAGATATGTATGCGATTGGAGTGAATGTCACAAACAGTTTACACGAAAAGGATATCTAATTAAACACAAAAGTAGTGTTCATTTGAATGAAAGGAAATTCAAATGCAATGAAGAAAATTGTGGCAAAACTTTTAAATCAAAACCGTATCTAAATGAACACAAACGCATACATT